TGGCCTTTCTGTGGCCCAAACGACTGCTCGTTTTAGGTTGATCCAGTTGCAATTCCTCTCACTTGTCCCATCAAATAAAATCACATATTTTACAGCCACAATGCCATTGCACATAATTTGCCCTCTGTTCGACTTAACCTAGATGATTTTACTTTTCACGCAATTTACATCAGGGTGTTTTTCATTACCAAAGCATATGTCATGCAAAAATAAAAGAAAGATGAAAGTCGTAAGAATAGAAGAGAACAAACATGCACCGATGTATACCTATAATCAAAGTAGCGGTGAAGGTTCTCCAATGCACCCGGATAGTCATCATGATAAAGGTTATTTAAATAGCGTAGGTAGTGAACCTGCAATTAAAACATAAAGACAGTAATAGTCTAAGTCCAGCAGATTGATCATGCATTCAATTATGTAAATATGTTAAGGTTGGATCACCTAAAAACTCCAAAATATGGCACTCACTCGATGCAATTCAGGTGCCAATTGCTGAAGCTTTTTTAGTATAGACTCAAAAGCATTTAAAGGAAAAGAGCTTCCGTTTCTGCCACGAAAAGACAAATCTTTAAGATAAAACGAAATTATTAAACATGTTATTGCTTTATAATATTAAATAATTATTAACTCAGAGTCTGTGATTACTTCAAAGTCCAACTTTCGACATGAGAAAATTGAATATAACTCACTTCTCAATAGCATCTGCTTGCTCTGATAGGTAACCTTGAACCTGCCAATTTGTATGCAGGAAAGTGCTACTAATGGAGTCGACGTCTCTGGACCTATCACTTGAAGACAACGCGGAAGAACCAACTGCTGCATTTGTATCAGCATGTTGTGGCCATCGACTCGAAGAGGCCCCAGTATCTGTCCAAAATAAAAATTTAATACGCCACGAAGCTCATATAATGTAATCGGAGTGTACAAGACGAGCGGTATTTAACTACAGGACCTTAAATTTGTTCTGATACTCATAACAATTGATGATAATAACAAAATCTCATGAAAGAAGAACGGTAATCAGGAAATGGTATAACCAGAAAACGTAATAACCAGTAGAAAATCATAATGTGCTAATAAACAGTAGACCTAAATTTTGAGAGTGAAAACAATGAATTACAAACGAATATAAGAAGTGTTTTTTGTGACCACGAGAAATAAAAGATGTGATACATCCTTTTGGTTTTACATTTATTCATTTCACAAAGAAAAGGCTGTACAAGAAAACTAAAGTATCTATGAATTGTTCACCCGGGTTTCCATCATAACAACAAAACGAGAAAAATGGTACAGTCTTATAGTTAGTAGATGTACATGAAATACTTTTGCCAACTTTATTGGGACCATGGAAGCTTTTACATTACACAATACTATGACAGATCAGAAACCCATCGTTGTTGATTGAAGGCATACTCGAAAGGATAGTGCTCATAGATAAATCATCAGTCCAGTAAGGATACCTTTAACTAATTCAGGGAGAACTCCGGGTGCCTGGCCACAGAAAGGAGATCTTTCAATTCCTGTTCTAGTTTCTTCAAAATCTTCACTAACCTTCTCATATACGTAATTGTCCATGTCCATATTCTCAGATCCGCATGAAGAATTTGGATCATTAGCAGAATCATCCAAATGCGATAAACCATGTGGTGGACATCCTGAGAGGGATTCCTTGCAATATGTCCCTATACTTGTTAAGAGATGGCACACACACTGCAACGGGAAAATAGTGTCAGATGTGTCATCCATAGCGCGTATAAACACTCTAGTACAAAATAATTTGAACATAAATCTTAGTAGAGTAACTGTATTTCTGATTTCATCATAAAGTCTTACACCACAGTTTGGAACTGCTGAAATTTAGTTTAAACATACCCGTTAAGTACCATGCAGTTCAAAAAATGACTAGCTCAAGTTATAAACACCACAATAGAAAAAGCATTACTTATGATCATAATACCGTTCACTATATACCATAAAAAGACATGAGACGTATAACTACCTAATTGTCTAAAAAAAGTTTACAGGCATAAAAAATAAATGGCAGAGTGAGTAGAGTGTCAATTCTTCAAAACAAGTGGTCCTTGATCTTCTCTGACAAATTATTCACACATTAACAGAAATTTATTGGCTCCTTCATTTGGTCAAAGAAGCAAACACACTTGAACCCACGTATTTAGTTTTGGAAACTAATGTTGAGTTAAGACTTGAGGGGTACGCACTACAACCAGATAAATAATTAAAGATGGCAAACAACCATGTATCAATATGAAAAAAATACCCATTTCCATATGGAGATTGTGTAATTGATCATCAACGAGAACACCATAAGTATCAAAAAGAAAACACCTGAACAGACGATGCCTAACATGTTCAAATAGAGACGAAATGCTGCAGATAAATACCTCAAATGACATCTGATTGAACGCAAGCAAGCAGCGCCGAATAAACATCCCAATACTACTGTTAGAATCGAGCATAATTTGATCATCATCCATAACATTGGAGTCAGGGCCCCCAAGAATACCTGATCAAGTGCAAAAACAGAACAATGAGCAACTTCACACATAATGGAAATAAAAAGTATGATGGGACTACATAAAAAGGGAATAATTAATGCCAAAAAACAACATATAACCATTTTAAATCACTTGCTACAAGTGCAGGAAGTTCTCACAATGACGACTTGGGCATACAATTAAACACGATGTCCTTGCACATTAAGCAACTTCACGTCTGTTTCATAGTAACTTTGCACAGAAGAAAATATAACTAGCTCTACTTTGCATCCAATATATTAAAAATAAGTATTACCTCGCAAATCAGCAAAAAAATTAAACAAGTCATCCGGGGAAGCCAGAGACGACAACCTCCGTGTCAGATGATCACTCAACCAGTGATTAAGCAAGCCACCAACCTCCCTCAGCTGAGCAATCAACTCGTCTAGCGTCGGCTCCGAAATCCCATCACATGCCTGCACAATTCATACACAAAAGTAGCTGTATTATATATTTCTTAACTCGGAAAACAATAATGAAGTCACCAGAAGATGAATAGGTTGTTGAACACCTTTGTGAGTGATATGATGAATATGCCGAGACGGTTGTGCTGTGAGACGGACGAGAATGGGAATGGGATCAAGGTTTGAGAAGGCGGCGCGTACACTTGAACCAAAACACATATCGAGAGTTTATGTGGGGTGACGGCAAACGTCGCCGGCGTCTTCAGGATGGCCGACATCGCCGCCGGGATGCGAATTTGGGAATGGGCGGGCGATTTTTGTGTCTAGGGTTTTTTTTGAATTAAGAACAATATATGAGGACGTCGTTTTGAAATATCTTCAAAGTAGTTTGTGTTTTTCATTTTTTGGAGGGATTCACAAATATGGTTTTAGGCCATCTCCAACTGAAAAACTCAAACTCAAACCCATTTTGCAGTAACTATCCCATTTTGCAGTAATTCATTTCCAACCGAAAAACTCATTCTCAAACCCAAAAGAATATTCCCAGAATATTCTCTTTTACACCAACTTTTATAACTTTTCAATACTACCCACATATTTTACAACTTTACAAATTAAACCACACTATTATTTTAAATTCAATTTGGACTTTATGTAATTAAAATTAATTATACATAATAAAATCGGAGAAATAAATATTCATTAAAAATTAAAATTTCACCACACAAATAAAATTAAAAATTACAATTCACAATATGAAAAATTAAAAATTACAACACAGAAGATGAAAAATTAAAAATTACAACACATATGAAAATTAGAAATTACAACACGCAAAATAAAAATTTAAATATTACAACACACAATTTAAAATGATACCATATGAATAAAAAAAATTATTGTCCTACATTTGTATTTTAACTACATCTTCATTTCAAAAGTGAAGAAAATACATATACATCTATGTATCGATTGAATCAAAACCGTTACTTTTGAAAATATACGATTTAGTACAAATTTACACTCTAGACCATATATGGTCTAGCGCATATATTCACATTTTAAAAACTGTTACCTTTTTTCATTGTATTAATGCAAATTAATGATAGATATAACATTTAGTGCAAAGTTACACTCTAGACCATATATGGTTTAGCGCATATATTCACATTTTAAAAACTGTTACTTTTTTTCATTGTATTAGTGCAAATT